CCCTAGATTAACCTGTGAATGTCAAAGAAAATAAGAATGTCAGGTATCCCAGAGGCACTAAGGCATTACTGTGAACAGCAGAACTTCCGTTCAGCCTGGGTGAACCAGAAAAGATAAACTACACTTCCCCCTATTGACCATGGAGGAAAAAACTATGTTACATATCCCAGAAGCACTCAGGCATTACACTGAATGCCAGGACTTCAGCCTGGGTGAACCAGAAAGGATAGACAACACTTCCGTATATTGACCATGAATGAAAAGCTAAGTATGTTATATATCCCAGAAGCGCTCAGGCATTACTCTGAATGCAGGACTTCAGCCTGGGTGAACCAGAAAGGAAAGACATAATTTCCCTCTATGAACAGTGAATGAAAGACTAAGTTTGCTATATATCCCAGAAGCTCTCAGGTATTACTCTGAATGCCATATAAATCTTAGAAATATGACAAATAAATATAAATCTCAGAGGTGATCAGGCAACACTAAACAAAATAATATTGTTACAAGATAAGACTTCAAGAAAATAGATTTTTTTAAATAAAACAATGTTGACTGTGCCTTACTACAATGGGTGCACAGAGTTTAAAAATTAAAATGTTATACATTGCAGGCAGAGCACATAAATTAACATCACATGGCTCCTCTTCAAGGAGAAAGAGCAAGTCATCTCTTAACTGCTTCCATCTGAAACAGATGAAAAAAAAACAGTGAATTTAGTTTCCACCTTTATAATCCAAATTTACCATATTTTTGCTGGTAACTGGGTAAAAGTGAAGAACAGCTCCCCTAAAAGTCTGTCGGCGGACTGTCGGCCAGCAGTATACCAACTGTCCGTCAAACTAAGTATCCCAAGTGAGATTTAAAGACATGTATTTCAATATTATTGTAATAGAAAAATCCGAGCCCCAGATGGGACTTGAACCCACGACCCTCCATGATCTAGTCGGATGCTCTAACCACTGAGCTACTGGACACTCTATGGTGAGCAAGAATAGAAAGTGAAATACCATTACCAATACCAATAGAAAGTGAAATACCATACTGCAAGCTGGAATTTTTATGCATGTCAATGTAGAAATGCAGTGTTGTACCTACCCCCCAATATTTGCTATGCTCTTTAGGAAACACTCAGCAAAGGCTTCCCCAAAAGGAACATCAGGACAGGCACATTCCTACAAATAAATTGCACGTATCACTCAATAATGAATTAACTGAGCTAAAGTCATATAATATGATTTTCGCTATTGCATAAATAGCGCTCTCTACTGCGAGGATCATGCATCATATGTATTTAATACCGCAGTTCAAAATATATGGACTTCATATATTCATTGTATGTAAAGTCATATAATGTTCACTACTATTTGTAGATATATAATCACTGTTCACCACAGATAAAATATGTTCATTTTTATGGACACCTTTCTGCCTTTCTGTAAAGTTAAGAAAGCCAAGAAAGCTCTCACTAATTGATTATAAATAAATTGCATAACAAATACCGGTAGCCTGAATATGTTTTGTGTTATTGTAGAATTCCGCTATGATGCATGTCATTTAGCATTGCAAGTATAGCCTTCCTAAATAAATTTGCACAATACACAGCACTCTGTGTCCAATCCTTGCTTGCAAAGTTCATTGATATATTTTTTGGCATCACCAACTCTTTGCTTGAGCAGCATTATCACTGTTTTGTAATCAAAAGTAACTGTCATGAAAAATGGCAAGAAGATAATAAGAAGTTGAAGTCTAAATAGCTACACCAAAGATCTCAAATGGTATACTTTCCCAGATATTTTCTGATACTGCCAAGCATAAAGTGGATTTAATAATTACTATCACGTAGCTAGACATGTAACATAAAAACATTGCAAAAATAAAAAATAATAAGATAAAAAAAATATAGAGTCAAGATTGGTACACACAAATAACCTGGAAATTTAACTTTAAATCATCTTCCATTAACTACTATTCCAGTTTTCTCAATGGCATCCCTCTGGCGATTTAAATCTTTTATCGTAGAAAAATAGAAATGGAATAAATTACAATACTGTCAAGACCCTATCAAGGAAACAAACCCGAAATTTCTCCTAAAGTAGCCATAAAGAGTGATCATAGAAGACTTAGAGGCTCAGTGTAAAATCAAACTCAGCCAATTATGTCATTTTCCTGCCAAGCAGAAATGAGTTCTGGTACACAGTAAAACCAGCATTCACAACAAAACATAAGACAGCAAACTCCCTTTTTCCAATCTTAATAAAAATATAAACGTTATGACTTAAGCCGGTTCGTCTTAGCTTCGAATTGCTAAGTAAAGTTTGCCAAGCTTTTCTTAATCCAGGATCCTCAACTGCACTTTGAAAAACAGCAGGGTCCAGTCTGGTACTCTGAGAGATTGCAAAAACTGAGGGTTACTGTCCCCCAGTATTGTTTCCAACGCTCTGCTGCTGTTAATTTTAGTTTTCTCAAGGATGTCGTCGTTGAGCATTCGCCCCGCATCAGGACTGTGGACCTGACCTACGATATACATTAATTGATCGATGTCCACACATCCTCGCGGCGACCTTCTCCTCAATTTTAACTCTGATGCTGGTCTTACTTATTTTTTTTATGTCACTTGATCAATAAACTACAGCTCATGTCAGATGATCTTGGGAAAACAGAAAACATCTAAAAATTTATAAGCAAGTCTTAAGCCATCTTGGCTCCGCGCCAGCAAAGTTTGTCCTTCCTGTGAAGCTATAAACATATTGATGGCTCAGCAATGGAACCTAACGGTGTATTGAACATGAAGAAAGGGGTGTTGCTCATGCAGACGCTACTGTTCTGTGGCTCCAGCTCCATTCTAGGCAATTGCACAATAGCGAAACCTTCCTGCAGGTGACGGCTTTAGGTAGTAAACATAAAAACCATCACATCTTCTCACTTGAATTTGGACTCGCCTGTGGCAACAATTATGAAAGCCGTGAAAGCACGCCTCTCTGTCAACAATGCCATCCTCAAGGGAAGGGTGTGGCCCCTTCAAGAAGCCTGTTATGTCTGTAAGACATCTGTGATGACTGACACAGTGGTCCAGCATTTTATTGTACGAACCAGACTGGAATCTGTACCACCCAGGTACGAGGGATGCGTCCGAATTCGACCCTCTCCCGTAAGACGTATGGCGATCGGGTTCGCTCAGTACAGTGTAATTAATGCAACCCACTTGGACTGTGAAATAAAGATAGACACATTTTTTCTAGGTAAAAAAAAACTACAAATGATGTCGTTCAAAGCAAGAGTTTAAGCAACTTTATTCCTACTAAGATTGTCAGGGTTTTTGTCATGCTTTACTACATCCATTTTAAAATCATTGCTGACCCTTACAATCTGATTGGCTCCTATGAATACGATTTGTTAGCGAATCGCACCATCTTTGGCTCTGTTCATTTTGACGTTCATTTCAATTGACGTGCTGGAATATTTGCTTGCACATTATATGCATGCAAAAATTTTAGCATGCTCCGTGGTCGCGAACATATCAAGACATCCCAAACAGTGAAGAAAGCTAAAACTGAGGGCAGAAAGTTGAAATTGAGTGCAGAAAGTTGAAATTAAATTGACTGACAGGAAAGTCGCGAAAGTGCAACAAAACAAAACGATAGACAGATCAGGAGAAAACCGTTTTAATTCATAGATTCATAGAAAGGGAGAATGAGAAGAGCATAAACACCCAACAAAGCAAGAACAACTAGATAAAACTCTGGAGGTCTTAGGATTCCAAAAACGGCTGTAAACAGCAACCT